CCCTTTTCCAGTCAGTGGGAACTTCACCAGACTACCGTAACTTCTCAAATATAATGGATAGTGGCTTGGCAACTTCATTCACCATTTCCCTCAGGACCCACAGATGGATTTCATCAGGTCCCATGGACTTGTGTACCTTCAGGTTCCTTAGATGGTCTCGTACTTGATCTTCACCTAAAGTGGTCAGTTCTTCGTTCTCACAGCCCCTGCCTTTGCCTTCTTGGGCGGTGCGGTTATCCTATGGGACTCTTCCAAGCAGATCTTTGAAGATGCCAAAGCCTGTTTTCCTGAAGTCCAGGGTTGTGATCTTGCTTTTTGCCCTGCTCCCTCCCCTCAGGATCCTGAACTCCACCATCTCACGCTCACTGCAGCCAAGGCTGCCTTTGACTGTCACATCCTAACAAGCCCCTCCTTGTTGGTGAGTATGGGGTCCAGCAGAGCACCTATCCTCATTTGGCTCCTCTATCACTTGGATGAAGAAGTTGTGATTGATGCTATCCAGGAACTGCCTGGATTGCTTATGCCCTGTTGTGTTGTTCTTCCAGCAGATATCGGTGCGGCTGAAGTCCCCCATGAGGACCAGAGCCTGTAAATGTGAGGCTGCTCCTAGCTGTCTGTAGAAGGCCTCATCCACTCGTTCTTCCTGGTCAGGTGGCTGTGGGAAGCTTTTTGGAAAACAACGGACACGTACTGAAGGTCAACATGAAGGAGGAAATCACGCGCTGACACTGAAACTACTGCTACTCCCCAACACATGCGGAATGTGTATTAATTAAAAGACTGACTTGGCAGAAACAGTAACAAAGTGTAGATAATAAGTTACAGCTGTGTTTAACCAATAATAGTTTGTGTGTATAAGTCTAGAAACCAATGAGCACAAGCCGCAGAGCTAGCCCACGTTGTAGTAAGGTATATAATGGTTTAAGTATTTTAATAAAGGGGCTTCAGCATTGATCATATTGGTCTGCGTCTGGGTCCGTCGGCAGGTAGCCTATAGCAGACACCCACTACAGTATCACCCTTACCCCTCTTGTCTATAATCCTTACCCAGAAGCTCTCATTTGGCTCCTCATCCATGCCCAGGCAGAGCTCCAAGCACTCCAGATGCTCTCTCTTCCCAGCCTGTCCTTCCTGAAGAGCCTCTATCCCTCCACTGCAACACTCCATTCATGGAAGCCATCCCATGTCTCCATGATCCCAACAAGACTGTAGCCATGCAACTGCACACATATCTCTAACTCCTTTTGTTTATTCCCCATGCTGCGTGCATTAGTGTACAGGCACTTCAGAGAGGCATCCTAGCATGTTGACATCCTAGAAAGCATTTGAGGTTTTTCTCCACAATGGTGCCTTGTAGGTACTTCCTTGCTTACATGCTGGATGTGATCCTGCTTAAGCCCCATTTTGTTGATTTTGTGTTCCGTTCCTGTTACAAATCAAGATATTCATGATGCAAACTTCAGGTACCAGATGATAGCAAACACTGGGACCACTCACCTGTCTTCCTTTTCACCCTCACACATAGTTGGCTCCACGGGAAAAGCAAGCGAGCCAAAATACCATAGGCTACTTTTCCCTTACCAAGGAAAGCAAGATTCAGTAGACAAGAGGAGGGAAATGTAAGGCAGCTGGGGGATATACAGAGTCAACACAACAGATGAACAACAGTAACTTAATACTGTCACTTTTCCAACAGTGGGAGGTTAGACAGTAGTTCCACTTCCTCCTCCTGATCTGTGTCACTGGCTTTTCCATCATCTGAGCATTTCAGACATGGAAGGAAACTAGTTGTTTCAAGCTCAGTTCAAAGACAACTGAAGAACAGTACTGGACCATCGTGGAGTGTAGATACATTGACTTTTTTGTAGTGTCAGGCCTGTATGCTGCCATTTGCCAGTAAGGCAAAGGAAAAGAAGCTACAGGTAGCACCACATTAGTAGCCCAAAGGGATCCCAATACTCCAACATAAGAGAAGAGGGTGACAATTTATGTAAAAATCAAAGCAATAATCTGCTGTACAACTAGGATGTGTCCCATGTCACTAAGAGTTCTAGGACAGCCCTTAGCTCTGTGTAGGTAGAGAGTTGTGTTGGCTGGTAGCTACTCACACCAGTCACAAGTCAACCCAAATGGATTCAGGACTTGTGATCCCTGTGGCAAACAGCACTTTGATGAGGTGCATCAGGGGCTTGTGTTGTCTGAACCTTCTGGTTTAACTGTTGGTTCAACCTGAATATAGTGGGCATGCTGATTTCAGCCATTTCACAAAACCCTTAGATTATAAAGCTTGGATTGGTTTTACTATTGCAGTAAAAAGAGCCACTCAGCAGGGAACGCTGCAGAGTTTGACACTGGCAGAAAATACCTTGAAGGTGATTACTGAAAAGCAAGAATATTTTAAATCTGAAAGATCACAAGAGAAACAGGCAGCTGAAAATGTGAAATGTCAGGCAGCAGAAAGAGAATCATTACAGGTACAGAAAAGAAGTACTTTGAGGAACAGAAAAAGCACTAGGGCTGCAATTAGTGGTTAAAGTGCTTGTGGCATACACTGAAGAAAAAGTTAACTCATCAAACTGCATGGGTATCTATCAGCCAACACAACATATATAGAAGAAAGATTACTAGTAGAGATATCAATCACAAACTATCATACTCTGACAGAACAGACACAAGGACATAAATTAGTTCAACAGCTAACTCTAAAGTATAATTGACAACATATCACAATGTAACTTGTCATCTGTGATGGGCAATTTTAGTCATAGAAGCATAGAATGGTTGGGGTTGGAAGGGACCTTTAAAGATCATCTAGTCCAACCCCCCTGCCATGGGCAGGGACATCTTCAACTAGATCAGGTTACTCAAAGGCCCATCCAACCTGACCTTGAACACTTCCAGGGAAGGGGCACCCACTTCTCTGGGCAACCTGTTCCAGTGTCTCACTGCTCTCATCATAAAAAAAAAAATAAAAAAATCTTCTTTATATCAATTCTAAATCTACCCTCTTTCAGTTTAAAACTGTTGCCCCTTGCCCTGTCGCTACAGGTCTTGGTAAAAAGTCTCTATCTGTCTTTCTTATAAGTTCACTTTATATATTGAAAGGCTGCAAAAGTACTCCAGGTAGGGTCTCATGAGAGTGGAGTAGAGGGGCAGAATCACCTCCCTCGACCTGCTGGCCACACTTCTTTTGATGCAGCCCAGGATACAGTTGGCCTTCTGGGCTGCAACCCCACATTGCCAGCTCATGTTGGGTTTCTCATCCACCAACACTCCCATATCCTTCTCCTCAGGGCTGCTCTCAATCCATTCTCCACCCAGCCTGTATTTGTGCATGGAATTGCCCTGACTCAGGTGCAGGACCTTGCACTTGGCCTTGTTGAACTTCATGAGGTTCACATGGGCCCAGTCCTCAAGCGTGTCAAGGTCCCTCTGGATGGCATCCCTTCCATCTAGCAAATCAATTACACCATGTGCAAACCCTCTAAGGGTGCACTCAATCCCAGTATATATGTCATTGATGCCACATTAAGATGTGGCATCAAGAAATGGAAAGAATAATGAGATCGAGAAAGAATAATAGATTAAGAATCAGTAACTGAAACACTGAGAGACTACTTTAGCTATGATACAGTTTTTACAGGCACCTATTCACTCAAAAGAATGCATTAAAAAACAACACTTCTTGCCAGGTGGCAAAACAGAAAACCATATCCACAGTCACTTGAAATGCAGGTCCTTCATGCAAGATGAAAGCATTTCCACCAAATAACAGGTAAGCTAAAAATGCAAACTTCCCCTGAAATTTGTGATGGGGTTCGGGGAGAGGGAAGAAAACAAAACACGACCTAGTAAAAAACAGGAAAGAAAAGCAAAGCAAGAAATGAACAAGACTACTGTGAGCCATTCCAATTTGAGACTGAGGAGCAGAATAAAGTGATGACAAGGCCAGGTATCCATAGTATTTAGTAAATTGGCAATGTACAGAAATCTAAGACCTATGAGCAGACTATAACTGAGAATTTTCAGCTCAAGAGCAAGACCTGGAAATTTATTAAAAGATTAGGCAGGAAATAGGATATCTTCAGGAAAGTGTCTACAATGATTTTGCTTGAAGGAAAGATAGACTTACTCTTCAAATCAACCTGAGCAATTGCTAACTGAAAGTGTTGGCTGTGTTTCATGTGGTACTTTAAAGTGCCAATATACAGACTCCCCCAAAAATGTCCACAAACAGAAACCAACTGGCAAAGAAACTAGACTATGCCAGAGAAACATGGAGGATCATTCTTGGCAAGAGAGTGCAAGAGCAATCAACCTCAGTCTGTTGGTGAGAGGAAGATAATAAACTGGTATCTATACTACATATCCATGATGACACCAGAAACTAAATCAGTGATTAGTGATCACAAGAGAAAGGGAAAATCACAATAGAGGACATATCCTTCTACAAGATTCCTAAGCCTCTTGCTACAGAGGCCTTGATTTCATAAAGAGAAACATGTAGATGCTACCTCAAGGAACATTACTTTGGAAAAAAAACCCACTTCTGAGTTTAGTTCTAAGAAGATATCGCAAAAAAACCTACTTTCAATAGTTTTTCAGAATACATTACAGTTATCTTTGGCATTTATTATCCTTTTCACGGTGAATGGTCAAGAAACAACTTCAGACACTATATGTGAGGGCTTTTCCTCTTGAAAATCTGTTGCATATATTTTAATACAGTCCCTTTATCCCATGCAATATAAACATTAAGTTTAAAAATGTATTTGTACACAAACATTAGAAAATTTTAAGTGGAAAATAAAACCTATGAATTCAAAAAGCTCACCATAAAAGCTTTTTTTGATAACCATAGCTCTGTGTAATAAAGGAAAAATGGTTGCTTTCACTACTACTAGAAAAATAATATAATGAAACTTACATCTTTTTCTTTTTGGAGGCTGTCTACTTTTTCTTTCAACTGTTTGCATTCATAATCTAGTTTATCAGCTTTCTTGGATTCTTCAGATAATCTGTTTTGTAATTCCACTGCCTGTGAGAGCAAGAAGCAGTAATTTGTCTGCAATTATTAACATTAAAAGAAAACATATGAAAGAAAGTAGTTAATGACCATGCGCCATGAGGCAAATAAGTGAAATATTTACCTACAGGACAGTCTAAAATTCTTTTTCATCAGTTGTTATATGTTTCAGTATAACCAAAAGAATTCAAATACTAGCCCTTGCACAAATAAATGAAACAATCAAAAGATGTAAAGTATCTTTAAAAATTTACATACAAGTGAAATTTACAGGAAAAGCTGCATAATCCTATGAACCAAAGAGCTTAGGAATAGTAAAATAATACTCCTACTTTCAGAGAAGCCAAGGAAAAGAAAAAACTGTCTAAAAACCTTTTGTCATCTCTTTTTCTACATGCCTCACTCAGGAGTCAGGCACCACTTCATACAATGAGGTACATTTTCTTGTGCTTAGACTTTTGTTATTGTTTATTAATACACAAACATGAAAATTCAGCTGCGGACTCATTATCAGTTTTCTTTATTTCAAGGGGCAATATGTTCCTAACAACATCTCATAGATATTTTTTCAAGCTGTAAGTTAGCAAAGAGCTTTTAAAACTAAAAAAGGAGAAGTATAAAAGCTTGGCAGAAAAGACCAGCGAACACAAGACAACTCAGCAAAGTTCTCAGCCTTTACTAGTATAGACTAAATCCCAGAATGTTAATAACATACCACAGAGTGTAAAAGCAGTAAACAGAAAAGACTGACTGGAAAACACATAAACGGAATGAAGACTCAGGTAAAGATATATAATTAATTCTTATAGCAGGACAAAGAGTTAGGACTCCTGGAAACTAATTTGTTTGCATCAGATAGGGTTTTCCTTTCTGAAAGGGGGAAGAGAATCTTTGCTCACAAGCTAGCAGGGATCATTGACAGAGCTTTAAACTAGGTTTGAAGGGGGAGGGGGACAATATCAGGCTTGCCCATGACAAGCGGTGGGATGACACGCTGCTGTGGTTTGGGCTCGGCTGGCCACTAAAACGAACAACAGATGCTCTCTAACTTCTCTCCCAAGCGAGAGAAGAATGAGAGAAAGAGAAACTTATGTGTTTAGAAGGAACTATACTTTAATGAAATATTAATAAAAAAAATAATAAAAATAGCAAATAATAATATTAATAAGAAAATAATGAAATATTTACAATATATACAAAACCGTATCGAGCTCCCAGGATGATGATCGCATCACCGGCAGGCACTGGGAAAGTCCAAGACTGGACTCAGCAATGCATGGAAGCTGAACTCAGGAACTGGACTCAGGAAAACACGGATCAGGATCAAAGCCAGACAAACAGACAGAGTCGTCCTTGGATGCCGGCCATTGAAGAAAGCGAGCTAAACCTTTGATCCCTCAGCTTTTATACTGAGCATGAGGCAGATGGGATGGAATACCCCGTTGGTCAGTTTTGGGTCACCTGTCCTGTTCGCTCCTCCCCGCAGGTGCGACCCCTCTACACTTTTCCACTTCTGACCCTCCAAGGTGGCAAATGACAAAGTTAGCTGATCTTGGTTGTTATAGCAATAAGTATAAGCAGGATCCTCTCTGCATACCATTCCTTAGTATTGTGAGAGATGGAATTCTTTTGCTTCAGCCATTTTGTATGTCGACAACACAAGCAGGGCTATGAGCAGCCATTTTGTGTGTCAACGGCACAAGCAGAGCTGTTTAACTTAGAAAAACAACTCCTTAAAAGGAGAAAGGTGTGAATCGAGTTTGTGATAGGCTAACAGGTCATGAAAGAATGTGCGCCCTAAAGTACCTAACGAATGGGAAAAGGGGACAGGACATAAATACCTGAAGTTTTGTAGCTAAGTGTGCTCTTTTTGAGAGGCACCCGACTCAGCTGACTCGTTTATTTTGATCCTGAATAAACTTTTATCTTTGCTTCAAAGACTTTGTCCTCTCTACATTTTTATCCGTGAGCGAGCGTTTCTCACAGTATTAACTATGAACATCAGCTGTTATCTGCTAGAAGCAGACACTGTCTGAAGAATATGCCATTAATTTCAGTCAGTTAGAAGAGACTTAATTGAAAAGTAAAATTACTGAAAAGAAAATTGGTTGTTTTACCTCAAACCAGCACACACGTCAAGGTTAGAGGGACGGAGTGCTAGCGAGGGCCCGCAGCCTGTTGCTCTGAGATGTGTTGGCTACACTGCAGCTACAGGCTACAGGCTGTTCAGAAAGGACAGACGAGGAAGAAGGGATGGAGGTGTTGCCCTCTACATCAAGAAATGGACAAAGTGTGAAGAGCTGTCTCTGAAGAATAGCCATGAGCAGGTTGAAAGTTTATGGGTAAGAATCAGAGACCAGGGCAGCAAAGGGAACCTTGTTGTTGGTGTCTACTACAAGCCACTCAATCAAGGGGAGCCTACTGACGAAGCCTTCTTACTCCAGCTACAGGAGGCATCACGCTCCCAGGCTCTCATCCTGGTGGGAGATTTAAACCACCCCGACATCTGCTGGAAAAGTAGCACGGCAAGCTGTAGGCTGTGGGAGACCTCGGCTGGTCCGAGGGATCAAAATACAAGTTTAACACTGACCCTGAACAGATACCCGTGTACCCTTGAGGAGACAGAAGAATCCTGAGAAGATCCGAGCAAACAAGATAAGGGGTGGCAAACATCCTGGCTTTTCCCAGAGCATGAACAGCGCGTGATCAACAATTGTATTGGCTGAATGGTGTGTGATGTGAGAGTGGATCCTTCCTCAGGGTGTATTCCTTTTGCTCTCTGTTGTTCAAAAGCATGTTCAAAAACTGATTGTTTGGGTTTTGATTTTTTGTTTGGAGTTTCTTTCCCAAATTTGCTTTTGTTTGTTTATCACAGATCTCATTTGTCTCTCTCCATGCATTTAGGTGTACGTACTGTCAGAGCCAAATCAACCTTACAAGCTCTCTTACACGAATCTGATCCTACTACCTACAATAAACATCAGCTTGAATTTATGAAAACTTCTTAAGCCAGGTAATAGACAGCTCCACCAGAGGGGATGCAATACTGGACCTGATGGTCACCAATGCAAGCGAGCTAATTGGAGACATCAAGATTGGAGGCAGCCTGGGCTGCAATGATCGTGCACTGGTGGAGTTTGCAGTCCTGAGCAATATGGGTCAGGCAAAGAGTAAAGTCAGGACCCTGAATTTTAGGAAAGCAAACTTCCAGCTCTTCAAGGAATTAGCCAATAGGACCCCCTGGGAAACTGCCCTCAGGGACAAGGGAGCAGAACAGAGCTGGCAGACCTTAAAGGATGCTTTCCATAGAGCGCAAGAGCTCTCGATCCCCAGGTGTAAGAAATCAGGAAAGGAGGGCAAGAGACAGGCATGGCTGAGTCGAAAACTGCTGGTCAAAATAAAGGGCAAGAAGGAAATGCACAGGCAGTGGAAGCAAGGACAGGTATCCTGGGAATGGTATAGGGACACTGCCCAGTTGTGTACAAATGGGGTCAGGAAGGCCAAGGCGCAGCTGGAGCTGAACTTGGCAAGGGACACAAAGAATAATAAGGGCTTCTACAGGTATGTCAGCCAGAAAAGGATAGTCTAAGAAAGCATACCCCCCTGATGAGCACAACTGGCAAACTGATAACAACAGACGAGGAGAAGGCTGAGGTACTCAACAACTTTTTTGCCTCAGTCTTCACTTGCAACCTCTCTCCCCACACCTCTCAAGTTGATGGACCACAAGGCAGGGACTGGGGGAGCAAAGTCCCTCCCACTGTAAGAGAAGATCAGGTTCAAGACCACCTGAGGAACCTGAACATACAGAAGTCTGTAGGACCTGATGAGATGCATCCCAGAGACCTGAGGGAATTGGCTGATGTAGTTGCCAAGACACTCTCCATGATATTTGAAAAGTCATGGCAGTCAGGTGAAGTCTGCAGTGACTGGAAAAAGGGAAACATTGCACCCATTTTTAAAAAGGGTAGAAAGGAGGACCCTGGGAACTACCGACCAGTCAGCCTCACCTCTGTGCCTGGGAAGATCACGGAAGAGATCTTCCTAGGAGCTATGCTAAGGCACATGGAGGACAGGGAGGTGATTTGAGAATGCCAGCATGGCTTCACCAAGGGCAAGTCCTGCCTGACCAGCCTAGTGGCCTTCAATGATGGTGTGACTACATCGGTGGACAAGGGAAGAGCTATGGATATCATCTCTCTGGAGGTCTGTAAGGCCTTTGATATGGTCCCCCACAACATCCTTCTCTCTAAATTGGAGAGGTATGGATTTGATGGATGGACTGTTTGGTGGATGAGGAGTTGGTTGGACGGTCGCATCTAGAGGGTAGTGGTCTACAGCTCAATGTCCAGATGGAGATTTGTGAGAAATGGTGTCCCTCAGGAGTCCATACTGGGAACAGTACTGTTCAATATCTTCATCAATGACATAAACAGTGGGATTGAGTGCACGCTCAGCAAGTTTGCGGACAACACCAAGCTGAGTGGAGCAGTTGACATGCCTGAGGGAAGGGATACTATCCAGAGGAACCTTGACAGGCATGAGAGGTGGGCCCATGTGAACCTCATGAGGTTCAACCAGGCCAAATCAAGAAGAGTGTGGCCAGCAGGTCAAGGGAGGTCATCCTTCCTTTCTACTCTGCCCTGGTGAGTCCACATCTGGAGTACTGTGTCCAGTTCTGGGCTCCCCAGTTACAGAAGGACAGGGAACTGCTGGAAAGGGTCCAGCAAAGGGCTACTAAGGTGATTAGGGGATTGGAACATCTTTCTTATGAGGAAAGGCTGAGGGACTTGGGTCTTTTTAGTCTAGAGAAAATAAGACTGAGGGGGGATCTTATCAATGCTTATCAATACTTAAAGGGAAGGTGTCAGGGGGATGGAAACAGTCTTTTTTCAGTGGTGCCCAGTGATAGGACAAGAGGTAACGGGCACAAACTTGAGCATAGGAAGTTCCATCTTAACATGAGGAGGAACTTCTTTACTTTGAGGGTGGCAGAGCACTGGAACAGGCTGCCCAGAGAGGTTGTGGAGTCTCCCACTCTGGAGACATTCAAAACCCACCTGGACACCGTCCTGTGCAACCTGCTGTAGGTGACCCGCAACCTGTTGTAGGTGACCCTGCTCTGGCAGGGGGGTTGGACTAGGTGATCTCCAGAGGTCCCTTCCAACCCTGACCATTCTGTGATTCTGTGAAATGCAAGGTTCTGCATGTGGGCTGGGGCAACCCCCTGGTATAAATGCAGGGTGGTGGATGAAGGGATTGAGAACAGCCATGCGGAGAAGGACTTGGGGGTAATGGTGGATGAAAAGCTCAACGTGAACCGGCAATGTGTGCTCACAGCACAGAAAGCCAATCTTGCTTTGATGCAAGCCTGGGCTGCATCAAAAGAAGCGTGGCCAGCAGGTCAAGGGAGGTCATTCTGCCCCTCTACTCTGTTCTTGTGATACCCTACCTGGAGTACTGCGTCCAGCTCTGGAGCCCTCAGCACAGGAAAGACATGGACCTGTTGGAGCGGGTAAAGATGAGGGCTGCAAAAATGATCAGAAGGATGAAGCACCGCCCGTATGAGTACAGGCTGAGGGAATTGGGGTTGTTCAGCCTGGAGAAGAGAAGGCTCCAGGGAGACCTTATTGCATCCTTTCAGTACTTAAAGAGGGCCTACAGGAAAGATGGGGACAAACTTTTAGCAGGGCCTGTTGCGATAGGACAAGGGGTAATGGTTTTAACTAAAAGAGGGCAGATTTAGACCAGATACGAGGACGAATTTTTTTATGATGAGGGTGGTGAAACACTGGAACAGATTGCCCAGAGAGGTGGTAGATGGTTTCCATCCCTGGAAACATTCAAGGTCAGGTTGGACGGGGCTCTGAGCAACCTGATCTAGTTGAAAATGTCCCTGCTCATTGCAGTGGAGGTTGGACTAGATAACCTTTGAAGGTCCCTTCCAACCCAAAGTATTCTGTGATTCTATGAATCTATTATTCTATGATTCTGTGATTTCATACTTATACTTTATTCATTCATTTTTTGGTCTCAAAGGTGTATTCAATAGGAGCCTAGCTTTATAGACATTGAAGACAAACAGACTGTGTGTTTGTTCTGAGACAGTGTGGTTAAAGAAACTCAGGTCTGCCAGATTAGAGGCCTGGGCTTTATTCCAGTCTCATCCAGCAGTAAAGTTCCATACAACACATCAGCTCCTCAGTTGTAAAATCTCATCCATAAAACATTGGTGATGAGAGAGAAGAAGAGATATTTTTTGCAGATGCTTAGACATAAAGAACAAAGTGTCCCCTTTCAAAATGTGCATCATCATTGAAATAAGCATGGTCAGAAGCAAACATAAGGGATAACACAACTGTTATTCAGATGAATTATTTTTTTTATGAACAAATGAGATATAAATAAAAAAGTGTCTCCTTCTATATTTCCTTTTCCCTTTGATTGTATGTTACTACAAGTTCTGTTTTGTTTCTGAGGGAATCAATTGGACTGTAATAGCAATCAGCCCAGGGAGGTGCAAGGTAATTGCCCTACTTATCAAGATGGCTAAATGCAGGGAAACAGCTTTCAAGTTTGAGGGATGCACATCACTCTAGGGCTTGCAATACTCTTTGTGCCCGTTTTTGTATCTTTTAAAATTTTGTTGTGGATTGACATGTAGGGACACTTGTAGTATGACCATTCAAGGTTAAGGGAAGTCAGAATAAAGACAAGGCACTGTCCACATAAATCAAGCTCAAGCTGACCCTGACAAAAGGATCTCAGATTGATGGCAGGTGTCCTGGTTTGAGGTAAAACGGAACCAATTTTGTTCAGTAACTTCGCTTCTTAGCTGGGCCTCTCTAACAACTGAAATTAACAGCATATTGTGCAGACAATGCTCACTCTCTCAGGGTGATAAGACCTATGTTTATAGTTGATGCCCAGGCATGGTATGCAGAGAGGACCTTGCTTATACTTATTGCTATAACACCCAAGGCCATCCAACTTTGTTATTTGCCCCGTTGGAGGGTCGGAAGCGGAAAAGCATAGTGGGGTCCCACCTGCAAGGAGGAGTGAACAGGACAGGTGACCCAAAACTGACCAATGAGGGTATTCCATCCCATCTGCCTCATGCTCAGTATAAAGACTGAGGAACAAAGGGTCAGGGCTCTTCCTTCAATGGCTGACATCTGAGGAGGACTCTGTTCGTCTGACTGTGATCTCGATCGTGAATGCAGATCCGGAATCCAGTTCCCGTCCGTCACTGAGTCCAGCCTGGGACTGCCCCAGTGCCAGCTGGTGTTGTGATTGTCATCTTGGGAGCTTGATACGGTTTTGTATATATTTCATTATTTCTTTTTTTTATTTTATTATTAATATTTCATTAAAGTAGTTTAGTTCCTTCTAAACTCGTAAGTCTCTTTTTCCTCCTCTGCCCCTCTCTCTGAAGAGGGGTAGAGGGGAGCATCTGTCAGTCCCATCTGGGGTCCCCCAGGTCCCCAGTAGCCGATTTGGCCTAAACCACGACAGCAGGTTAATGTACTGTAGATACAAAAAAAAAGAGATATGCATGCGTCCTCCACCTTTATAGAAATTGTCACATCCCTTTTGGTGGAACAGGAAAATAAACAGATGCTCTCCACTCCTGAGGGCTCTGGTGATACACAAGGTACTTTTGATGCATATATGCAACAAGGATGATATAGAGGGAGGAGGATGTATACTTTCTAGCCACAGATGGACAAATTCAGGTTAGAAACCTAAAGAAAAAAATGTTACTTAACCACTAGAATAACTTACCAAGGCTATGGTGGATTCCCCACTGCTGGAAATTGTCAAGTAAAGAGTGAATGCTTTTTCTGAGAAACAAGCTCTAATTCTAGTCCCACTACTGAACTTGAATAAGGAATAATTTGATAAACCTGTTACTTTTTGAGAGGTAAGACTGTTCATTGACAAAAGTAACACAAACTTGACATAATGATCAATAAGCAATGTAGGGAGGGAGGAAGAAAGAAGTATTTACAAAAGAAGCAAGCACAAGGAGCTGTTTTTGTTTGTTTTTTGCTTTGAGGTATAAGCCATGTTGCAAAGAAGAAATGTTGAGAAATGCAGAGAATTATTGCACTGATGATATTCTCACCTGTCTCTTGTATGTCTCCAGCTGGCTACGTGCTGCATTGGCTTTCCTTCGTTCTTCCTCCAGGCTCACGGTATTTTGCACGTACACTGTATTCTTCTCTTCTAATAGTTTCACTTGCCGCCGCAAATCACCCAGGTCTTCCAGTTTCTTTTTGTATGACTCTACCTGGCTTTCTAACTTGGCCACTTTATCAGAAGAATGCCTGGGAAGACAAGAGATTGAACATTTGTATCAAATCTGTAATTGGAAGACTAAAAATCAACGTAGAAAACATACCCAGACATCAAGGGATCACAAGAACACAAACATCCTCACACACTACTAAATGTCTTGGTTTTCAAGTTGTCTGCTCCCCCCCCATTAGTTGACACAAAGTGCTGTTATCAGAAGTGCTTTTGAATGGCATAATTTGTCCTATAATTTCCTTATCTGCTTCCAATATTAATTAAAAAATAAATCGTTAACACTCCTACAATTCCAACCTATTTCCTTCCAACTGTAAATTAATCCTCAGAAGCCACTGCTTTACCAGAGTAAAAATAATATTTTCTGCCCTTCACTTTTTTTTTTAAGATAACCAGGGATAAATGTGTTCTGAAAAAGTAAATGGCAAATTTATGCTAACAGCTATTATATCCATTTCCTAAGCAGTCATACAGGATTACCAGAATAATTTTGGAGTCTGAATCCTTTTCAACAAAAATGCAAGACAGGGCTCAGTTTATAATACATTCAAACAGAGTTTTCTCAATATTGGATCATTACTTTTAATTGTAACCAATTTCTAAATAATTCACAGCTTGATTGAAAACAAACAACATTAGGAAAATATCCTCTAATTTGAAAGTTTTCACAAAAATTTCAAACAATCAACATCTGTAAGCTAACAATAACAAATCAATCCCCACAGTCATACTCAACAGTATGAAAATAGAATGAATTCAGCTGAACTGAACTTTTTGGTACTTAGTAATCTGATGTCAGACTGCTTGACACACAAGTTAGAACCATCATTTTGATGGCCACAGAGTGGCTTTTACTTAATTGCTTCAGAAGTGTTTTAATACATAACCATCCTTAAAACTACTACACCAAAAGCTAATGAAGACTACATTAAATTATATGAATTTTACTGTGGATTAAAACTATTTATATATTCTAAAAAAGAATAACCCAAAGCTAATGGAACGTAGTTTACCTGAGTACATCTATTTCATCCTTCAAAGACTGAGCCTCTTCTGCTAATGTACTAAGCTCTTCAGTTTCTTGTCTCAGTTCTGCAATTTCCTTTTCTAGTTCTTCACAACGTATGTGATAGTCATCTTTGGCAGCTTCTAACCTGTACAATTGAAGTAAAACAGGACAACATAGTTGAAAGCCTCTGGGTAAGGATTAGGGGGAAAAGCTAATAAAGTGGATGTTGTTGTGGGAGTCTACTATAGATCACCCACCCAGGCCGATGACACTGATGTATTATTCTACAAGGAATTAAGGGAAATCTCTAGATCAGTTGCCCTTGTTCTTATGGGTGACTTCAAACTTCCCAGATGTTAACTGGGACTATCATACAGTAGACACGAACAGGTCCAGGAAATTCCTGAAGCATGTTGAAGGTAACTTTTTGATACAGGTACTAAGAGAGCCAACTAGGAAAGGTGCCCTCATAGACCTGTTGTTTGTAAATAGACATGGTCTCGTGGGTGATGTGATGATTTGTGGCTGTCTTGGCCACAGTGGTCATGAAATGATTGAGTTTAAAATCTTCAGTGATATGAGAAAAACTATCAGCAGAGCTACTACACTGGATTTTGGGAAAGCAGACTTTAGGCTGCTGAAGGAACTAGTTAGTAAGGTCCCCTGGGAGTCTGTATTTGAGGGTATTGGGGTCCATAAATGCCCACTTTTTAAGAGCCAACTTTTAAAAGCACAGGAGTAGGCAATTCCAATGTATTGGAAGTCAAGCAAGTGGGGCAGAAGACTGGCTTTGATGAGCAGGGATCTTCTTCTGGAACTCAAAATGAAAAAGTGTATGGACTTCGGAAGAAAAGTCAGGCTACACAGAAGGACTGCAGAGATGCTGTTCACCACTGTGGGGAGAAAATTCACACAGCCAAAGCCAACTGGAGTTGAAGCTGGCCAGTACTGTGGTGTATAACAAAAAAGGCTTTTTAAAGTATGCTAACAGCAAAAGGAGGACTGAAGAAAATATTGGTCCATTACTTGATGAAGTTGGTCACCTCAGAAATAGGGACGTAGACAAAGCAGAGGTGTTTAATGCTGCCTTTGCATCTGTCTTTTAACACCAATGATGGGCCCTGGAACCCCTGGAGCCCTGGGCTGGAGGACCACGACTTGGGGAGTGAAGCTGCCAGTTGACTTTGAACTTGTACGTGATTTGCTGCTGCAACTGAATGCACATAAGTCTATGGGGTCCAATGGGATTCATCCCAGGGTACTGAAAGAGCTGGCTGATGTTATTGCGAGACCTCTCTCAGCTATTTATCAATGGTCTTGGGAATCTGGAGAGGTCCCAGTCGACTGGAAGCTAACAAATGTTATTCCAATTTCCAAGAAGGGCAAGAAAGAAGACCCTGGTAATTACAGGCCTGTCAGTCTCACTTCAGTGCCTGGTAAAATTATGGAGATTATTCTGGGAGTTATTGAAAAACACTTGAAAGACAATGCAGTCATTGATGAGAGCAAACATTAAGGGAAAGTCATGACTTACTAACTTAATATCCTTTTATGACAAGGCTACCTGCCTAGTGGATGAAGGGAAGGCAGTGGATGTGTGTGTGTGGGGGGTGGTGGTGTTACTTATTTTAGCAAAGCTTTTGATACTGTCTCTCATAGTATCCTTCTGGACAAAATGTCCAGCACACAGCTAGACAAGTCCATAATACGTTGGGTGAACGATTGGCTGACAGGTTGGGCTCAAAGAGTTATAGTAAATGGGGTTACATCAGGCTGGCGGCCAGTCACTAGTGGGGTTCCCCAGGGCTCAATTTTAGGGCCAATGCTCTTTAATGTTTTTGTAAATGATCTGGTTGCAGGAGTCAAATGTACATTAAGTAAGTTTGCTGATGATACTAAATTAGGAGGAGCTGTGGATTGCCTCGAGGGTAGAGAGGCCTTACAGATAGATCTTGATAGATTAGAGTGCTGGCCAATCACCAACCATATGAAATTTAACAAGAGCAAGTGCCAGATTCTGCACCTGGGACAGTGTAATCCTGAATGTATATATAGATGGGAGAACAAGAGGCTGGAGTGCAGCCCTGCAGAAAGGAATCTGGGGGTTCTGGTTCATGACATGCTCAATATGAGTCAACAATGTGCCTCGGTGGTCGAAAGGGCCAACCATATCCTGGGGTGCATTAAGCACAGTATAGCTAACCGGTCAAAAGAAGTGATTGTCCCACTATACTCAGCATTGGTGCGGCCTCACTTGAATACTGTGTGCAGTTTTGGGCTCCACAATGTCAGAAGGATATAAAAATATTACAATGCATCCAAAGGAGGGCACCAAAGATGGTGTAAGGACTAGAGGGCATGACTTATGAGGAGCGGCTGAGGATACTACATTTGTTCAACTTAGAGAAGAAGAGACTGAGGGGTGATCTCATTGCTGTCTACAACTCCCTTGTGAGGGGGAGTGGAGAGGGAGGTGCTGATCTCTTCTCTCTGGTGTCCAGTGATAGGACATGAGGGAATGGCTTAAAGCTGCATCAGGGAAGTTCAGATTAGATATTAGGAAAAGGTTCTTCACTGAGAGGGAGGTCAAGCACTGGAACAAGCTCCCCAGGAAAGTGGTCGTGGCCCCAAGCCTGTTGGTGTTCAAGAAGCATTTGGACATCGCTGCTAGATACGTGGTTTAACGTTTAGGTTGCCCTGGGTGGAGTCAGGAGTTGGATTCAATGATCCTTGTGGGTCCCTTCTAATTCAGCATATTCTATGATTCTCATCTTGAGCCATTATTACCTTTCTTCATGATCATCATCCTCTCCAAAAACACCAGAAACAAAGCCTTCTGATGCAAAGTGAACAGGAAACAACAGTCCAGTGCACAAAACCACAGAGAATGGAGTTTTGCTCTCAAATGCCTCGCTTATTCAAAAACATAGAAGCAGATCACTTTTCTGATGCTTCCAATTCAATTAAAATGTTTCTACTTTGAAATATCACAAGGAAATGTGTGGGTCAATTGTGCTGGAAAGAAAAAATTCCGAGATTTCTCTATGATAACATCAGAAGTTCTTGCAAAAGTTTTTACTTCCCCCCCCCCCCCTTTTGGGGCACAGAAAATTTGAACATGAAAACTTTATCCTAGGGTTTATCCCAGGATTTTGTCCAGCTGTCAAACTCCCTTATACTGTCATCAATGTTGGCAGCCAGACCTGATCTTCAGATGTTCTGAATGCTGTAGCTCTCACTTAATTTTTATTTTTAGATGCTATGCCTGTTCAGTGCCTCTGAAGAACCAAGTATTTTGACTAGCATGTGAAGAGCACAGAACAAAGTCTCTGGTATGACAAACTCTCTCATCAATATATGTAGGAAAAGTTGCATGAAGTCGGCAGTGAGCGAAGGGAATAATCAAGAGAAACTTTGACAAAACATAGTGAATGAGTGGAGAAGACAACTTGGTAGCACAGAGTGTGAAGTGCGATTGTGAATTTTGTGACAAGCTCAGTATTGTTTGTTCACCAAACCTAAAAACTCACATTGTTACAGTGTTTCATGAAAGGCAGCTGCTTGGCAGGATGGGGCAAGATAGCCAACATCTGCTAAGCAAGCAAGGCCAAGCTGCAAGGTCGAGTTATGCTAACATCATAAATTGTGAAAAGACTTGGGAGGAAAGGAAGGGGAGAGGCTCAGTCAAGTCCTGCTAACATCATAAATTGTGAAAAGACTTGGGAGGCTCAGGAAGACATGGAGCCTTCATCCCTGCGACCACCAAAAAGCAAAGGAAGAAAGAGGACGACCCCCTAGCAACAAACCGCGCAGACGCAGAGTACACCACTAAGAGAAACGCTTATACCGGAAGTAGAAGAGTATAAAACCAAAGACTTTTGTAACCTAGGTGCGCGCCGTCGGCGGAGTGAGACTCCCGGGCCGCCCAGCGCTGTTTTGCTTGCTGCCGCTTGCTAATAAATACTTCAAATCTAATTGGCTCCGTCTCCTCGCCTCACTTTGTGAGACTAACTTATAACAAATTTGATCCAAAATTAAAATAAAAAATTAATAAAGATACCCATACAAGGGGATGCAGTCAAGAAAGAGGTATAGCAGTAGTTAATTCAAGCAGTCCAGTTAATTCAAGCAGTTAATTCTAGGCGAATGGAGACAAGGTGGCCAATGGGAGCCTTAAGCCAAAAATTACAAAGGTTTCAATGATAGACTAGAACAGTCAAAGGACACAGAAGGCTGAGAAAACAGCTGCTGCACCACACTGCTTATCAACAAAGCTGTACCAAGTAGACATGTTTGGTCTACTAGAGCTGGAAGAATAAAAAGACAGACAAGTGTCATTAGAAATCACACAGGGAGAACACAGAGAAAAGAGAGAAAGGAGCACTGAAAGACAGAGATCCAGTGGACAGATGAGAAAGGTTTCAAAAAGTCTCCAAAACCCTGATGTAAAGAGCATAGAGGAAGGTGGAATGACTACAATTACAGGCAGTGAAGAAAATAAAGCGGGGGGGTGGGGGAGAGAAAAAGAGAGAAAACCTGTTTAGTATAAACAGGAAGTGACAATCAGATTGTGGTAGGAATTGTTCCAGACAATTAAGAAAAATATCCTAAGATTAGTTATAAGGGAAATTTAGCGAAACATGAATATACTGTTTCTTTACAGTGTAGCTATATAGAGACAAGGAAAATGTGCATTAGCTGGAGTGAAAGATGGAGAAGTACAAACTGTTTTTCAAGAAACAAAAGGGAGGGGGTCATATGTGAACACAAAGTGAGAAGAACTAAGAGAGAGGGAGGAAGCTTGGCAAGAGAAAGTAGAAGGATGGGAAAACACATGCACAAAAGGTAGTAAAAGGTTACAGGAAAGCTGACATCAGAAGGGTTTAGGAAAAGAGGGCAGAAAGAGGAAAAAACAGAAGTGTAGGAAGATGTATTGGGTGTATATGGCAAGGTTTTGATAGCATGGAGAGATGAGGGGTGGCCTCTGGGAGAAGAGGTAAGGGGCTGCCCTGTGCCAGACAAAGCTAGTTCCAGCTGGCTCCATCAACAGACCCACCGCAGGCCAAAGCTGAGCCAATTACAGAAGCTGGTGATGCCTTTGTGAAAACATATTTAAGAAAGGGACCTTGACAGGCTTGAGAGGTGGGCCCATGTGAACCTCATGTTCAACAAAGCCAAGTGCAAGGTCCTGCAGATGGGTCTCAGCAATCCCATGCACAAATACAGGCTGGGCGGAGAATGGATTGAGAGCAGCCCTGAGGAGGACTTGGGGGTATTGGTGGATGAGAAGCTCAACATGAGCTTGGCAATGTGCGCTCGCAGCCCAGAAAGCCAATCGCATCCTGGGCTGCATCAAGAGTGGCCAGCAGGTCGAGGGGGGTGATTCTTCCCCTCTACTACACTCTCGTGAGACCCCACCTGGAGTACTGCATCCAGCTCTAGAGCCCCCAACATAAGAAGGATGTGGACCTTTTGGAGCAAGTCCAGAGGAGGGCGACAAAGATGATCAGAGGGCTGGAGCACCTCTCCTATGAGGACAGGCTGAGAGAGTTGGGGTTGTTCAGCCTGGAGAAGGCTCCAGGGAGACCTTATAGCAGTCTTTCAGTACTTAATGGGGGCCTACAGGAAAGATAGGGAGGGACTCTTTATCAGGGAGTGTGGTGATAGGATGAGGGGCAACGGTTTTAGTCCTGTTCAGTATATTCATCAATGACCTGGATGAAGGGATAGAGTGTACCATCAGCAAGTTTGCTGATGACACAAAACTGGGAGAGGTAGCTGACATGCCGGAAGGCTGTGCCGCCATACAGCGTGACCTTGACAGGCTGTAGAGTTGGGCAGAGAGG